ACGCAGTCACCCAGCTATCTAACCACAAGGTTCTCCTGGAGGCCTAATCAGCACCAAAACCTAAAAAGGCTAAGGCAGGATCCTTAATTTTTCTTTCCCTGAAATGAATTTCTTAGTCTCTCAATTCAGAAGAGACATCATTTTCTCACTCATTTGCTCAAGCCAAAAATCTCTCCAGAGTCAACTCATCAGTCAGGCTTGTAAGCTGCATTTCTAAAGAGAGCCTAAATCTGCCCCTGTGTGGCTAGCCCATCAGCTAGGATGTCATCACCATCTCACTTGGACCCTTGCAAAACAGTCAAACCAAGCTCTGCTTCCTTGCTTGCCTCCTGCAAGCCGTGCAAATGCACAGCCCAAACCTACATGTTACTGAAGGTGAAGGCTTTGGAGTGAGACAGTTTATGGGCTTATATCCTGCTCCTACCACACACATCTGTGTGACCTTAAGGGAATAACAAATTCTTCTGAGCGTCAGTTTCTCACCCAAGTAACAAGGACTGAAGTAATTAACCTGCTTTGGAGATGAGGTGTTGATAGGGTCTTCCCTCCCATAGTTAAAATGATGAGATGAGATTGAACGGTAGACTTGGATTTTATTTCACCAGGAAAACACAAAATCCGACCAAATATTCCGGGAGTACTGCAATTGGAAAAATGCACTGCTGAGTTTGGTGGCCATTATAATCAGATCTTCTAAGTTCAAGTTCTGCCCTAGGTGATTTGCATAAACTAATATATGATCATTAAATCATACCCAGGAGATGTACCATAAAGGAGACTCAGTGTAGTTAAGTAATTTGTCCAAAGGCACATGCAACTTGTGAACAGATGAAAAATTTTGAGTCCCAGTTGCTTGACCACAGAATTGGCTATAGTTGTAGAATACAACCCCACCCACAAAGAGGAAATATCATGTCGCAGAATGCCTTGGGTTTGGAGACTAGGCCCTGCTGTGTATAAAGAGGTTGCCCTAATGGGTCTGGTGGTGCACACCTATAATTCCAGCACTCTGGGAGGCTGAAGCAGGAGAATCAAAAGTTCAAGCCCAGCCTGGGCAACTTAGCAAGACACTATTTCACAATTAAAAAATAAAAATGGCTGGGGATGTAGTTCAGTGCAAAGGGCCTGGGTTTAATCCCCAGTATGGGATAAACAAACAGACAGAACCAAAGTCAAACAAAGTTATATCAGCCAAGCCACTCAGTCTCTCAAATCTCAATTTCCTTGTGAGAAGAAAATACTGAGATGAGCAGCAATGCCATCAAGTGGTATTAGTGGAAATGCTATAATGTGGGCTAAAGTGCACCGCCAACCCCAAGCACACAAGTGACTCTTCCCTGCAGGAGTACTTGTGGGAAATGTGGATCCAGAGAGGCTGCACTGCTCTGGGGGGCCCAATGCTGCCTCTTTAAGGTGTCCCCTGCACCCAGAATGACTATGGTGTCCCTGTAGTTCCTCTTGATTTCTTGACTCAGTTTCTCTGTCAAACTCCTCAGACTCTCTCTTCCAGGCTCTTTCTATTTTATTTCTTGCTACTGGAGATGGAACCCAGGGCCTCGCACATGCTACGGAAGTGCCCCACCAGTGAGGTACACCTCAAGCTCCCCATTACTCCAGCCACCTGGGGCATCTACCTAGAAGTTCTTACCTGGAAAAAAATCTGCCTTATGTCCTCTGCCATACAACTGCCACTGCACGTGACTATTATTCTCACCTTAGGGAGAACAGGAATGTTAGCCTACGTGTAAGAGCAAAGTTTTTTTGCACTCCCATTTTTAGATATGCTTCCTACTGGGGCTGGAGTTATGAGAGGCTGTTCTGTTCAGAACTGTGGCTTCTGCCTCTTAATTCAGGTCCCGGTAGTGAAGCCTCCCCGATCCCAGGTGTAGAAGATGAGCACAGTGATTACCTATGGCCAGCAGAGGCAGCAGAAGCTGGCAGATAGCCTGGGAGTGCTGCACCTGTTGGGAGGGTGTGGTCAGTGCGTCAGCGCTGCCCCAAGTCTCCAGGCCACCCCCCCTCTGGCTTGCATTAGACAGAAAAGATGTGGGAATTCTCCCAGGAAGACTGGCGGAGAGAACACCTCTGTACCAGTGTGGTAGAATGCTGGTTACAAGCGACACACTCAATTCAAGCTAGGTAAGGCAAAAAGGAATTTACTTCACACAGAACCTGGATTTTGGGGACAGTTGCTATCAGGAACTCAAAAGCTATCAGGATCATCTCCCTCCTCCGTTGGTGTCAGCTGTGGCCTTTCTTCTTGCAGACTTCCAGGGATCTCTGGTACTAGAGCAACCCCTGGCTCCTGGGTTCCCTGAGTCCTTGTCTTCCCTAGCTCAGTACTGAGCACACACAACTACACACCTACACGGCACACAGTGGAGCATGACCCCCTGCCTCTGACACAAAAGCACCAGCCCATTTCTCAGATTCTCACTGTCATGAAGGGCTCAGGGGAGGAATCCCCACCCCTCAAAAAACTCCAACCTACACCCAGGAGGATCTAGTGGGTTTCTCCATTGTGAATGCACCTCTCTTAGGCTGTCTGGGGAAGATGGACCCTCAGGCAGGCCAGACTAAGGAGTCACTGTGAGACAGTGTGTGCACAGGGGAGCGGGGGAGGGGAGGCCTCACTTAGGTCCAGCAAATACGAGATCATTGCAGAACTGTGTTGCTGAGATGCATTGCAAAAAGTGATTCAACCCATGCCTGACATTTCCCAATAGGCCCAAAAGCTAAGCCAGGATTCCTAGTGCTATAATAAGTGTCACCATTGGAGCATTATTAGTGGTGGCTTCTGACCTGAGAGGTTGTCTGGTGAATCACAGTAATCTAGGGGGTTGTGGAGGCTTTAGGAGACCTGAGTATTGTCCTAGAGTCCCCTAGAGGAGGACGCAAAGAGGATGATGTGTATACGTGGCAGAAGGTGCTCACACACGGGGGTGCAGGGTCAGCTACAGGTCTGGTGAAGAGTAGAGGGTAGGGAGGCAGGACTGTGGTGGCCTGGCCAGACCTTTGGGCAGTTTCTTTCAACTCCCCAGGTGCGAGACGCATTTCATATTCTCTCGCTAGACCTGCACTCTCTGCAGTTCTATTTTACAGCAGAGGAGGATGAGGCTGAGACAGAACTTGGCCTGTTCATATTCCCAGAGTCAGGTGGTAGAGCTGGGAGTAGGACCCAGGGCTCCTGGTGCCCAGATTAGGTCACTCTCTTCTCCCCAGAGGAGAGAACACAGATGGCTGAAGGAAGGAAAAGGAGACACACAGGACAGTCACAGGCACCTGAGGACGGAGACCCATGTGAGAAGCAGTGCTGAGGCCAGGCTTAGCCTCCATAGGTGCATGAGGATCCAGGGCAAATAGGTGTGCTCGACTTTTCCTGTGGGTGACTGCAGTCACCTTTCGGCACCTTCTGCAGACCCAGGCCTCTTCCCTGAACATCTATTCTCTCTGCACGTGGACTGTCCCCTGGAAAGCCCGCAGACATCTCAGACTCCCCAGAGCTCAAGCTGTCAGTTCTTCTCTTTCACCATCCCCCACCTGCTCCCCTCTGGCCCCTCAATGAGTGGCATCTAACCAGAAATCTGGCATCACCCCAACCCCAACCCCCACTCAGTCTTCAAGTTCCTTGGATTCTTCTTCTTAACATCACTCAAATTTGTCTTGGCTCTGGTCCCACCTTGTACCAGGAAACCCAGGCCATAGAAGCTGGAACGGCTCCTCCAAACACACTTCCCCCAGGGAGGTGGCAGGGGGTCTCCATGTGCCAGTGCTGTGGTGGGAGGTGCAGCCATACGGGGGGGGGGGACAACCGTCTCGGCATCCTCTGGGGAGGGAAAGTGGGCACAGCACAGAGCTGTTGACAGACTCCAGGCTGCTATATTGGGAAGATTTGACAACACACACAAGGAGAGAGTGAGGGCGCGTTGACGGCTGGTGAGAGGCGCGGGGGCCGGCTGGGGACGTGCCACCACCACCCACATAGGAGGAAGTTGGGAACAGATTGCTTGGGACCAGTGCCAGGCTCCTGAAGAGCCACTGCTTCCTTCCTTCTCTCCTCACTCTGGCACCTGCTGAGCAGTTGAGGAAGGGGCTGTCTGGTTATAGCCAGGCTGGACGGGGACATGGGCTATGAAAATTCTTGCTGAGATGAGAACACTAATTTGCAGAGCATAGCCTCCCTGCCCTTCAGCCTTATTTCTCCATCCCATCCCATCCCATCCCGTCCCATCCCATCGCATCTCATCCCATCCCATCCTATCCCAGTATCATCTTACACTTTCATATTCCTGTCCTATCTTATCAGCTTTCCTATCCCCTTTCTCCTTATTCCCTATCCCTTCCCCATTCATCAGCCCAGGACATTTCTTCCATTTCATTATCTCACCTTGAGTGGATAAGGAAACAAGAAAGTAGGTTTATTTATTTACTTTTTCATGCCAGAGGTGAAATTAATCATACTCTGCCCGCCCTCCCATGCTCATTTGGAACCAACAGAGCAACATAGAAGTTAGGCAGGTGGAGCTCAAGCTGTCAGTTTGTCTGATGAATCATGGAGGAAGTGGCTGGGACACGTGGCCACACTGGGTTCCACAGGCCTCCCTCTCCTCACTTGCCCAGCTGGACAACTTGGGGTCTCTCCCCTGCGGTGGTCTAGGGGGTCCATCCGCATCCCAGAGTTCTTCCCTGAGTCTCTTCTCAGATGGAGTCGGCAGGGGTATTTCTGGTGTGACATTTCTGGTAGGTCTGTACTTCTGGCCCTTGCGGTGGAGCAAGACCTGGCTGTGCAGTTGAAGTTAACACTGACTAAACCTGAGGAGGAAATAAGAACATGAAAAATAATCTCTCTTTAAAGTGCTCCATGTGAGAGCTCAGTTCATTGAATGGATGCTGGTGGATGGAAGGGAGTTGGAGCCAGCTGGCTTTGATTCCTCTAAATATTCTAGAGGCCATTGTGCAATGCCATTTCATCTGTCCCAACCTAGTCACCTGGAGTCCTCTGGAATGGGACCCGCATGCCCAACGGATGTGTTGTCCTTCTGAGGGCATGGAATAGGGGAAGGCAGTGGACTCCAACTGGTAGGTTTCTACCCATCTCCTCTTCACCTCCCCGGGGAGCCCTGAGGAGGCGCATCTGTAAGGGACAAGCCTGAGGGAGGGGCTGTCTGTGTTGCTCCTTCCTCCTCCTCCTCTCTGGGCTCCCTTTCCCTCCTTGCCTCAGCTCCCTTGTTCTTGTGTGACACCCTCTTCTCTTCCTATCAGATGTGTACCTCCATCCTGTCCTGTGTGGAATCAGGCTGGGTTCTCGATGACTGTCATCCTCCAGGAAAAGGCTGGTGTGGTGGGGCTGGGGGTGAGCACTGCCTTTGTGACTCAGGCATCTCTTTGTCTCCCATGGCTCTTGAATGACAAGGGATCTTAAACGCCATTAAAATCGAGACAAATTCTGCTGACTGATCAGTTCCTGGGTGTACTTGAGCAGCTTCTAAGTGTGTGTGTGTGTGTGTGTGTTGGGGGGGCACAATCCACAAGGCCCTAAAACAGATCAGATGTCTGAGCATGTTTTGGCCCTGACCATTAGTAGCTGTGTGGCTCAGGTAAGTGTTCACCCACCTTGCAGAGCTCCATATTCCCTGTATCACTACAGGTGCTACATGACTCTCTGCTGGGGCCAACCAATAGGCATGGCTGAGGAGGACCCCTGGAGAGCCAGGCGCTCTGTCACCACTGCCACTGTCATCACTGACCTGAGTCAGCACGGTTGGCCAACACTGTGGAAGACCAAGCGTCTAGGGTAAGAACAAGGCTTTGGTCTGGGGATGTCCTGGAAGGTTTTGGTAAGGAACACTGCCCATTGGCTGGGCCTGGTTGGATGGGCATAGATGGAGGGCAGTTCACAGGAGGGCAAAGGCTCCCTGGAGGGTTGGGAGGGGTGCCCAACTCCTAGTGCTATGAGTTCACTTCATGGGATGACACCGGAGGAGGATTTGGGGAGCTGATTTGCAGAAGTTTGGGCTGCTCAGGCAGGAGCGCTGGAGAGCTCAACATAGCCAGGCCCTGTACAGATCGGCAGCTGAGATGCAGAGTACCATTAGTGTTGCAAAGGGAATTCAGGACTGCTCAGAGCTGAGGTCTGTGGTTCCAGATTCCCCCAACTCTAGGAGCCTTGAATGTTCAGTTTAAGTATTAGATCTGCACCTCCTACACCAGAAGGTCATTGATGCCTTTGGGTGGGGGAGTGTAGCCAAGAGATAATAAAGGACCGATCGGATCACCTTTTCCTTCAGCCCCAATGCTTTCCAATGGGCACTTTCTGCCAGTGACACAGACACAGACAGCTGGGCCTGCTAGGTGTTGTGCCCACTCGGAGTCTGGATGGCTGGGGGGACCATCAGTCTGCACCCAGATAGAAGGTACCCAGTCCCAGCTGTATGTCACCTGGAGAGCAGAGCAGAAGAAAGGTGCCAACCCAACTCGGGCTCCTCGATGCTGTGATTCCTCTGGGCCAACCTGGACCTTAGGGCTCCATGGAGAGGTCATGGTAGGAGGAGTGTGGGGAGTGGCTTTCCCCGAGAATAGCATGCTGGAGGCGTGGCTCCTTGCAGCTGTTTCATTGGGTGCCCCACTGGGGAGGGCTGAGAACAACCTGTCCGGGCCCATCCTATTCTTCCCCACACACTATCCAATCACATCCACTGACCTATGGGAAACGTCTCAGCCCTGGCCTGACTCTAATGATCCAGCGGCCCTGCCATCTCCATTTGCCATGAATTCTTAACTATCTCTGCCTCTGGAATGGTCGTTAGCAACTCAACATTAATCTCTCCCACGTCCATCACCTTGGTGATTAGGATCCTCGATTTGCCTGCTGCCTCCCTGCCAGGGGGGAGTGAGGTGGGTTCCCGGGGCCTGGCTGCCCTGCCCCCAGTGGGTGGGGGAAGAAGGGGGCCAGGCCAGCTTGTTAAATCTAATTACCTGGCTGCCGACAGCGGGCCTGAGCTCTTCTGAGAGCCGGCTCGGCCCACCGCGTAATCCTCTGCCTGCCTTTCCGCCATAACGAGAGGCCGCCACCAGCTGCCGCTCGGCTAGATGGGACTGAGTTTAATTGCTACCCAAAATGTCAGCCCTTTCAAACCCACAGTATTTCATCACTTACCTTTAAAGAAGAGGGGAAAAAAATCAATTTGGACCGTGAGTTTCAGCAGCAAAGCCTGCAGAAAGGGCTGCCCAGTTCTTCAGGGGAAGCTGTTCTTTTCATTAAAATAGCTATTTTTAAAACTCTCTCCCTCTCTCTCTCTTTAACACGAGATGAAAAATCCCAGCTACAAGAAGAAACCCTTTCATGAGGGAATAATAATATAAAAAAGAGTTTAAAAAAGCCCACTTCTAAAATGGGTCCCTTTTTTTTTTAACCTCTCAAAGGTTAAAAAAAGAAAAGAAAAAGGTTTTATTCTCAAAGGGTTTTTACATGTGTGATCTCATCTCACCCTCACAGAAGCATGGGGTGGTGGGGAAGGGCAGATGTCATTGTCCCCATTTTATGGATGAAGGAATGAGGCCTGAGAGACCAACCGTTCTGCTGAGGTAGGCATGGGTCACACATTTGTTTAGGGGGCGGGAAAGAGATCACCATTTTCTGATTGTCAGACTGATCTCTTCGTTTAGAACAGTGTATCCTGTCCCCAGATACAACCACCTCCCAAACTCAAGCTATTTACTTACTAACTCACAGAGTTAAAAAAGGGGGGGGGGCATTAAAAAAAAACAACAGCCTACAGAGGCTCGTTAGAGTTTAACACTCATTTAACTCTCCGTGAGCTCACAGCCATCCTTTCTTCCCTAGGGAGAATTTTTTCCTCTTTCCTTTAGAAGAAAGGAATGTAATTCTTTTGGAGATTACATTCCCCAGAAACTGGTTTCTTAAGCTCCCGCCTGGAGAAGTGTTCCAAAGTCTGCAGACTAATTAACCCCATTGTTCAGAATTAATCACCTCAGGAATATTTGGAGTCAACAAGAAATGTATCAATTGGGCTCTTAATAAACCTAATGAAATGACTCAACATAAAGGCATATGAAATAGACTTTTAAAACATTAGGATAAACCGCCAACCTCCCAGAGCTCTCTGCCGTACAATCAATCTTAATTGACACTTTATTAGCACCAAGAACTGCTATCAGCCTGGCAAGCTCCCCTGCTTCGCTTGCCGAAATGATAAAGTTTGTATTTTTCTTTAAAAGGGAGAGAGAGAGAGAGAGAGAGAGAGAGAGAGAGAGAGAGAGAGAGAGAGAGAGAGAAGAAGCAACTTGGAGTCTTTGGTGAATGAAGACAGGAGAGAAAGAATCAGAGTTGTGCGGTAGAAATGGAAGCGACAGGGTCTGAGGCGTCTTTCCCACTCACTAGAGTCCAGTGCCAGGAGGCTCTCAATTGCTGTATCCCTCAGGCTGGAGGAATTGTCGCGACACAGCCCCACCTGTCCGCCTCCGCAGTGCTTACCAGATGCAGAGGTGCCGGGAGCCCTGCAGGGGGGAGAACGGGTGATGGGCCAGGAGAAGGCGCGTGGCTGTCTTGCCCTTCAGTTTCTGCTGTGATGAAACATTGCTTCTAAAGTTTGGGGACCACTGCCATTCCTGTGTTCTCTAGTTCTTCTTAATTTCTGGTAATTCTGCCTTGAGTTTGAGGTAAATGGTAGAGGGGCCCCCAATTCTCCCTAGCAACCTCAAATCCACTACTAGGGGGGTTCTATTTCAAATTTGGTTGTCTGTCCTGGGTATCTGTGACTGCTGTGAGGCAGCCATCTCCTCCTCCTCTTCCTCCCCTCCCTCTTCCCCTCTCCCCTTGCTCCTCTGTGATTCCTAAGGTATTTTTTTGGGGGGGCATCAGAAATCGAACTCATGACCTCATGCTTGCCAGGTAAGTGCTGTGCCGCTGAGCTATATCCCCAGCCCCTTTTCTGTAATTCCTGGGGATGTGGTTTTAGGACTCAGTCTGGCAAGATGAGGTGACCTCACACTTTCCAGAGTGATTCCTGCTTGTTTAGAGCAACCAGAAGGGAAGAAGCCTTAGAAAGAACCCAGTGGTGTCCCAGAGAGGGCAGGGACAGTTGTGGTGTGCAGCCCACGAACAGAGAGGTAGTAAAGATGCAGCTCATGTTTGACTGGAAAATGACAGGGGAGTCCCCAACGTGAATTAGAGTCCTACATTGTGCAGATGCTATGAGCACAGGCTCTGGGACCTAGCTGCCTGAATCTGAGTCCTGGCTCTGTTGCTTTGTGTGGCTCTGTTGCTTTGTTTGGCTCAGTTGCCACATCTGTAAAATGGGATAGTAACAGTGGCTTCTGAAAGCATTTTTATAAAGATTAAGTAAATACAGTAAAGTTCTTAGGACTGTGTCTGACATAGAATAAACACTCTATAAGGGCTTTCCTTGTGTTAGTTAAAAAGGAAACCAGAAGAAAGTAATCCTTAACGTTTATTGATCACTCACTATGTGGTGTCATGAGAAGCCCATGGTTTGAGAGGGAAGATCAACAGGGTCAGATGCTTCAGACTGATGGGGTATGGCTGGAGAGTCTCTGCCACAGGAGCCTGGCCGCCAAGTCACGGATCCAGATCTGCAGGGGTCTGATGTGCAGGGATCTTAAGGCCAGGCATGGTTCCAAGGATTTCATTCTCACTGAATCTTATGAGGTAATGTCATAGTTTGTATGTGATTTGGCCCCCATGATTTATATGTTAGGGACTTGGTCCCCAGGGTGGCAGTACAGGGTGGATCTTTCAAGGGGAGGGGCCTGGTGGGAAGTCTGTAGAGGAGATTAATGGATTTTTCGTGGAAACCTGGTTCGTTCTTTAAAACAAGTTGTTGTAAAAGCCCAAATCCGGCCAACCCAGGCTCCCTGGCTCCCTCTCACATGCACTCCTGCCTTGGCTGTCTGTGGTGTGACACAGGAGAGCCCTCACTAGGGCTGACCGGGTGCAGGTTCCGTGCCCTTGCATCTTCAGTACTGGGAGCTAAGTAAATTTCGTTTCTTCATGAGTAGTCTGCCTCACACGCAGTGTTTTGGTTTTTTAAAATAGTAACACAAAATGGACTAATATAGGTGAGTGTAATATTTATTCTCACTTCACAAACAAGGGAACTAAAACAGAGCAGCTAAGGATTTGGCACAAGATCACACAGGTAGCAGTGACAGAAGTAGGCTGGAAACACAGTTATTCTGGATCAAACATCTGCGATTTCAGCCAGTTAGTCATTCACTGGCTGAGACTTGGTGTTTCAACTCTGAAAGCAACAACGGTAACAGTTTCTCTAAAAGTCATGCTGGAACTCAAATCTGGGAGTATAGAACCTTAGGTCTTTCTCTCAAGGTTATTTTAGGTTGTTCTTTTATAGTAAATAGACAAACTGATCCTAAAACTCTTTTGGAGATGGAAGGGATCCCAGGTACCCCAAAACAATCTTGTAAAACAAGAACAAAGTTGGAGGATTCACAGTTCCTGATTTGAAAACTTACTATAAAGCTATGATAATCAAAACAATGTGGTACTAGCTTTAGGAGATCAAGAGAATAGAAGTGAAAGTCCAGAAACAATACACGCATGTATGATTTTTGACAAGGATACCAAGATTATTCAGTAGAGAAAGAATAGTCTTTTCAATAAGTGGTCCTGGGACAACTGACTATCCATATGCAAAAGAACAAATTGGGACTGCTACTTCCTACCATAAAAATTAACTTAAAATGGATCAAAGACTAACTACAAGAACTGAAATATAAACATTTTAGAAGGAAACAAAGGTATTCTGAAATATGATATGAAAAATACAAGCAGCAAAAGAATAAGTAGGTAAATTGAAATTTAACAAATTAAAGATGTATATGCATCAAAGGACACTATCAAGAGAGTGAGTGGGAGAAGGGATTTGCCAGTTACTTATCCGATAAGAGTCTAGTATCCAGAATATGTAAAGAACATTTACAACTCAACAACAAAAAGACAAGCAACCCAATTTAAAAATGGACAAAATATTTAAAGAGACAATTCTCAAAAAAATATACAAATGGCCAAAATGCACACTAAAATGCTCAACATCATTAGTCATTAGGGAAATGAAAATAAAAACCACTTTACATGTGCTAGGATGGCTTCATAAAAAACAAAGTGGAAAATAACAAGTGCTGGCAAGGATGCAGAGAGATTGGAACCCTTACACATTGCTAGTGGGGATATAATATGGTACAGTAAATGTGGATAACAGTTTGGCACTTCCTCAGAAAGTTAAACATAGAAGTACCATATGATCCAACAATTCTACTCTGAAGTATTTATCCAAGAAAAGTGAAAACATATGTTCCCACAAAAACTTGTGCAGGGATGTTCATAGCAGCAGTACTTGTAATAGCCCCAAAATGGAAACAGCCCAAATGTCCATCAGTTGATGAAAGGGTAAATAAAACACTGTAGCGACGCAATGGGCCACTGTTTGATTATAAAAAGGAACAAAGTGCTGGTACCTATTACAACATGGAGGATCTTTGAAAATATTATGCTGAGGGAGAGAAGCTACATGCAAAAGACCACATGTAATAAACTTCCACTCACATGAAATACCCAGAATTGGCAATTCCATAGAGACAAGAAGTTAATTAGTGCTTGCCAGGAGCTGGGGGAGAAAGGGAATTGGGAGTGACTGCTAATAGCCTCGGGCTTACATTTGGGGGTGATGGAAATGTTCTGGAACTAGTGATGATAACTGCATATTGTGATTACAAAAAAGCACTGAAAATACATTTTCAAATGGTGAACTTTATATTATGTGAATTTTATTTTGATTAAAAATAGTGAAAAAGTGAAATGCAAACCTGATCTTGTCCCCCGTCTAAAAGTGCCTTCCTGGTGTCCCATCCTTCGGGAGGCCTGCTCGAACTGCTCATGGCTTCTCTGTGTTTTCTTGGTTCCTTCTCTTTGATTCTAGACTCCTTTTCTTCAATCCCTTGAGGGAATGTGCCAGGTTGCTTGCTTTCTTCCGGGCCTCTACTGTTCATTCTGCCTGGAACACCCCTGTTTTACCCTCTGAGTCTCTCAAGGAGTCATCCATGACGTTCCAGTTCCCAACATCCCCCTTGCCCTGCTCTCCTCAAACCAAGCTGCCATCATTTGCACACCTGCCCTGTGCCCATCCTCTGCTAGGCCCCAGAATGGAGCACACAGAGACTTCTGACTCCAGCCCCAGAGGAGGCACAACTTTGTTTTTTGAGACAGGGTCTTGCTATGTAGTTCAGGCTGGCCTCAAATTCTGACGCAATTCTCCTGCCTCAGCCTCCTGAGTGCTAGGGTTACAGGCACACACTGCCATGCCTGGCCTAAGGTGTTTTTAATGCCAGCTGCTACCAGGAAACAAAGTGAGGTAGAGGAAGCAGGAATACACTTTGGAGTATGCCAAAGAAATGAACACTTCTAGCTCAAAGTCCTCTCTGAGGACACAGGCCTCTGGACGTGGCTGTGACATCTCTTGCCTGAGGTGTTGCACTGAATCCACCTCTGCTGCACTTCACCCACAGCAAGGGGGCTTCTCCAGCGTTCTTTTTGCATCAACCCTGGTTGGATAGGACAGAAACCCCCTGGGAGTGGCTTCGGGTATGCAAATGTTTGCGTGAATGCACATTTGCACTTCTCACCTGGTTGTGGCTGGGCAGGGGAAGGCTTCCTCTTCAGGCAGAAACACTACAGGAGGCCCAAGTCTCTTTCTGGGAGTAACTGGAGTAACCACCTGATTGGAAGGAGGTTGGTATAGGGCTAGGTGTTGGGGCTTAAATTACGTATGCATGGAAATTACCCCAGCTTATCTTATGTGATATGAGCAAACTAGCAAAAATTTTGTAAAAGTGGCTTTGTTCGTAAGTTATATACAGTTGAGAAAACATCACTTGGTTATGCCAAAGAATTTATTTATTACTTATTTATTTTTACAGTGGCTCAAGGAGTGAGCTGTGGTGGGGTCAAAGATATTCCCGGCACTGGCTCTGAAGAGACTTCTCCAGGCCTCCTGGAAAGCATTCTACTTAATTATTCTGTGAACTTAAAAGGTGAGCAGAACTCGAGTTCTTTAAAATACAGGCAAGGTTTGGCATCGAAGGCAAGGAGCAAAGAGCTTTGACCTCAGTTTGTACTCTACTTAGCCTTCATGTTGGATCTGGCCTTAATTTCTTCTTTTATAGAATAGTGATAATGGAACTTAGCTTTCTGGGTTTTGGGGGAGACTCGGTGATTTAATGCATGTGAAGCACTTAGCATATGGTTGGCAAGAATAAATCTCAAGAAACTTGATTACTATTTACTGTACGAAGTACGCGTGGAGGTTCATATCTGTGTGCAAGTGTGCGTAAGGCCCAAGGAACTGATTTCTGGGTCTGTCCCTCAAGCATTGCAGCATCTAATGTACATGATCTCATGAATAATGGAAGAAAAGCTGTGCATTAATATTTAAACTATGCTCTGCATTTCTGGTTTTATGATGTGGGGTTGGTTTTCAAATTATATATTGGTCTATAGAATAACATAATGGTAAACATTTTTTCAGTGGACCCAAGTGTTTGCTTTTGAGGTTCATTCCAAAGTTTACCTACTTGTGAAGGTAATTTTTGATGGTGATCTCATCCACACCTCCTGAAAAAGGCCTGTTTGACTCGTGTTGCACTGGTGTGGATTCTGCATGGTTGCTTAGACCAATCACTGGGGCTAGAGGGAGGGAACATGCTGATTAGGCCTGATCACGTGTCCACCAGCGAGTATGAGGATGGCCTGGTGCCTTGGACCAAGAATGGCAGGAGAATTATCGGAGAGGGTGTGTCATCAGAAGGGGAGTGGAGCCCAAGCATGCACGAACCAAAAGGTGACTGTTAATGTGGCAGGCCTGGGATTTGAACTCAGTTAGTCACCTCCCAAGCAGGCCAGTGTAGATTCTTTTTCTCTACTCATGCCCACACCTGGTACTAAGGATTGAACCCAGGGATTTCAAACTGAGTTATAGTCATGAACCTTTTAAAACTTTTATATATATTTTGAGAAGGGTCTCACTAAATTGCCAAGTTGCCCAGGCTGGGCTAGAACTTGTGATCCTCCTGTCTCAGTTTCTCAGAGTGGTGGAATTCCAGACATGTGCCACCACACCCAGCAGATCCATTGATTGACCTTTCTTTCTTTCTTTCTTTCTTTCTTTCTTTCTTTCTTTCTTTCT